TACTATTATTATTATTATCATCATTATTAGTATAGTTCTTATTTTCAATTTCATTGCAGTTTAGTTATTAAATTGCTCTTATCTCAACCCAAGAGTCTCTTTTCCCTTTGCCCTTTTAATTCTCGCCCCTATCCTCAGGAGGTGGGAGGATGAGCACATGGCTGTGTGGTGTTTGCTGCTAGATGTTATCTTTCAGCTTCCCCAATGCTTTTAAATTCAGATAGACTTGTAAAAAAATTTTTTTTTTTAAAAAAAAGAGAGACTCATATTTTTTAAAGTAACTGAATTCTTGAGATGTGAGAAAGCAAAAAGATAGATCATAGGAACAGAGGCAAATTAATATTATGGAATAGTAATTTAGGAATGGGATGTTAAACTGGGCTTCAGGGAAGAATACATTTTGTACGGAATAGTAATTTAGGAATGGGATGTTAAATTGGGCTTCAGGGATTCAGGGAAGAATACATTTTGTATTAATGTACCATGTATTCAGGTAAAATGTATTCATTTATATTTCCTTTTACGGTTACAAACCTGTGCCTAGTGCACATTTCAGAGTTTCCCAGCCCAAGTGACAGTAGCTTCATTTCTCTTAAAGACTTAGAATTGTGAGAGAGAGCTTGTCTGTCAGCTGCTGGTAGGTACCAAAGTGCTGGGAACTTGGATGGGACAATGGCAAAGGGGGAGGCAGGTAGCTGCAGAGCGTGTGGTTGCCGTCGGTGCACTGTGTAACAAAGTGATGTAATCCATACAGGCAGAGCAGACATCTACTCAAGTAATTTTAAAATGTATGTTCTTCAGAAGCATGTCTTTAGCTCTCGTCCTTGTGAGAACATGGCCGATGCAGAGCTAAAGCTCTTATGCAAGTGGGGATACCAAGCGTGCGTGATGCTGCCCGTAGCAATAAGCAGGCAGTAGCTCAGATCCACAACCACACCAGAGTAAATAGCACCTCGTGTTAGTAGCACAAAAAGAAATTGCGCTTCTGCTTTTGCCATCAATAGGATTAGCGTGTGCCTAACCTTTGGCAAGGAATTAATCTCCCAGAGACTCCTGAACTCACAAACATACACCATGTACCTTTTTTCCTCTCTCTCTTTTTTTTAAATAATCAGATTCATTGTTTTCAAAAGGAATGATTATACAGAAAACTAATGAAACAAACTCTGAAGCCATACACAAGTTTATTGTATTACGTATCTATTATTATTTAGCTTGGGTTTAACTCAGTAGGGAAAAAAACGTGTTCCAAGTACACGTCCTTTAAAGAATTACACAAATGAGGCACTTTCAGGCAGTCAAATCGGATGTAAAGTCAAACTTACTCGTCAGTTCCCTCCCCTGATTCCCAGTTTCATTAAGTTGCTGGAAAAGCTGTAAGTGCCAGGGAGCCTTGGATCACGTTCCCAGAGTCTGGCTGACTCTGGGCTGGTGAAAGCTCGACCTTGCATCACACCAGAGCGATGCTGCTAGCGTGGGGGAGATCTGCGGAGGCCTGAGCCACAGCAATGTGTGGTCCCTTCGCAGAAGGACAGCCTGGCCTCGCCTGCTAGAGATAATGCAGGGTTTTGCCAGCTCCCAGGTGCCTCCTAACAGGCTGTGGCTTGCGTAATGTTGGGCCAGACGACATCTAACAGCTAGAGCAATGCTGTTGCCCCGGCCACCACCCCTGGGTTTGCCCTGTGGCGTGCGTTAGCAGCTCCTAACACCAATCTCTGAGTAGGCAGGTTTGAGGGATTACAATGAGACCTGAACACAGATCCCATCGGGACGGGCCTCGGGCAGCACCGGCTCAGGTCACACCAACCTGGCCGTGGGAACGGGGCTGCTCCAGAGGACATCCTGCAACAGCATCCTTGGGCACAGCAGCATTGGCTCTCTAAGGAGTGAAGCAATAAGGTTTTATTGATGTTTAAATGATGCTGTCATCTCTGAATTGTATAGCCACAGCTACCCCCTGTGACTAATTTCATTCTTCTCTAAGCCAGTTAGTTCCAAGGATCTCATTAGCCAGGCAGACTCACTTGCCTCCCCTCCTATGGCCGTTACCATCCACCTCTGGGGTTTACAAAAGTTGCGATGAGGAAATGTTGTGCTGGATAATACCTCATGCAAAACAGATGGCAAAACAACATCGCTGTTCAGGCTGGGCTCTGAGTCATCTAGAACAACGTAACTAGGGATGTGGTAGTCTCTCAATATAAATAGTTGATTTAATTGGTAATATTTTATTTTAAATAGTTCTCAAAAAATAGAGCAATAATCATAGACATAGAAGAATCCAATAACAAATCAAACCTGCCAGTTAAAGAATTCATTAGTTTACAACACCATGGACCATCACAACAGAATTTCTCCTGAGCCTGGTAGGACATTTCAATTGGAAATACAATAGTTTTGAAGTTCTTTTCAAACCCAAAAAGAAAAGCTTCATTCTAACTACTCAGGGAGTTTAAAAAGTTCACCATTCTGAGCTTCAGTCTCAAAGAAAAATCTCCATTCAGGCTGAGAAGTTTAGCTCATTTGATGTCGCATCATTTATTGCATTTTAAGTTGAGGTTTTTGGATGGGACAAAGATGAACAAATACCAGGAGTTTAGAAACAGACGGAGATTCTGTTTGGTCTTTTATTTTTTCTTTTTTTTCTGTGATGCCCACTTTTGTGACATAAATAATAATAAAGCTTGCAAAGTCCCAGAGCTGCTCTCCAATTGACAAGGGCTTTGCTTCTCCTCTAATTAGGACTTGGAACAATAGTTTCCCACTTAGCATCATCCAGAGTAACTTCCTTTTAAAATCAATATTTTCAGATGTTAGATCATAAAAATCACTCTGGGATAAACACTTTGTGTGCTGAATTAATTAACAGAAAAGCAAATGAATGTACTTCTGTAGTAGAAATCAGTAATCTTGCAAAATGAAAAGGTCTCTTTTGCCACCAACTCCCCTTCAGAGGTGCAGCTAACATGAAATGTCAGCATACAAGAAAAACGCTGTCTCCTCTTTCCTACCAGGCACTGGTGGTATATGCAGTATGTGCCTTGGTGATAACTGTACACTCTTGAGAGTAAAAAAGCTTACACTACCCTGTAAAGGAAATAAAATTCAATAGCATCAAGAGAGAGCTAATCTAACATATATACACACATACATATCTTTGCTCTGTAACAGCTTTTTTTCTAGTAGCTGTAAATTTAACTCGGTGCTGAGCCTAGTTAAACAGAAAATGGAATAAATGGCTACATTTTTGATTAGAAAAGTATTAATGGCAGTGCAGGGAACCTGAAAAAGGACTGAGGGTAAAACTGTCTTCTGGTGGGGGAATGGAGGTTGTCTGAGTGAAGCACCATGCTTCCTCTCTGCCCGGAGACGGCAGGATAGCGCCGGGGATGGCTGTGGGCAGCAGGAAGGAAAACCAGGGCTTTGGTTACTCCTACCTACACTTGTTTATTCAAAGATTTAAACCTGTCACAGGGTCTGACTGACTCTCCTTGCCCTGATGGAAGAAAAATGTTGGTACAAGTTTGTTCCTGAAGAGCTCTTCAATCCCTGTCTGAGAAAATAATTGAGAGAAAAAGTCCACTTGGCGAGGTCTCCGGTGTGTTACAGGGGTGGCATTATGGGGAGGCAATGAGGTGGCACTCCGTTCAGTAATTGCACCAGCGCCGGACAATGAGCTGGTCTGCAATTGCTGCTGCTTCTGAATCGGGGCATAATGGCGACAAAACCTCCCTGCTAATTGCTGAGGGTAGGTTCTCTAAGATCCAGGTTAATCCGGTTAGGCATAGAAAACAGCTTGACAGAAAAGTAACGTTCATCTGGCAGCTGTTGTGAACGTGAGCAGAATAACAGACAGCCCGCAGCATTTTCCGAGGCAGCAGGTACGCTCTCACTGCTCCCTTCTCAGCCACTGTTTTCAAACTTTTATGTGGTTTTCTCTTAGTAATTCTTTTCAACCTAAAAATTAAAATTACGGTCTAATTCTATAAGCTTCCACTTGTAGAGGAAGACCTTAACGCCGCTGAAATGAGGGAGATGGTTTCTGAAGCAAGAAGCGGCTGTGTGAGATGGAGGCTGGACCCGCCTGTTCCCAGGCCAGGACCGCAGCGCCCAGGCTTGGGGCAGTGGCTTCAGCCCATCACACTTTCATTTCTTGAATTCTCTGTGCTATCCTGAGGAAATCCTGCACAGAGATTACAATGCCGGTGAGATTGATTTATATTTGCCAAGTGCCTTAAGATCCTCTGATGAAATGCGATTTGCGGTTAACAGGATCAGGCATCAGGCTGTGGTTTCGCCTGCTGTGACTGGAAGATGCACCAGCGGTTTTACCCAAACACCACTCCGGTCCCAACAGACCTGTGTCCCTCTGCACATCAATCTGTGTATGTGAAACAGCTTCATGGATGTGCCCGGTTAGGTGGGGCAAGGCTTGTTTTCAACGCAGCAGCCCGGTAAATGATAGGTTACAAAGGGCTTCACCAAAGGGAACTGCTTACGCATTCCATCCTGTCGAAACCCAGGGACACTTTATTACTTGGAGTGAAACCTGATTGTACTGACATTCACAGCCTTTTGAAGGTTTCTTGAGGTTTTTGTTGTTTTTTTTTTTTAAGTTCAATGTCCTTTTGAAGGTCTCCCAGAACAGTTAGGCAAAGACACAGAGAAGATTAATTAATCCCCTCTACATTTAAGTAGTCAAATATGCAAAGAACGGTAAACAGCAGAGCCATCTTCCAGAAAATGAAAGCAATTGTCACAGCGTTGCCTTATTACCTATTCAGAGCTCCAGATAACTTGTTTGCTAGGATGAACTTTGCCTCCTCATTTCCATCCTCACGGGGACGTCTCAGCTTGTAATCATTTATGAACCAGCCCTGTCATGGAAGGGTGACTGTACAGTCTGGATTTCATTCAGAGCTGCTCGGGAAAACCAGAAGTTACTGAAAATGTCAAGCAGGTATCACAAAGCAGCAGCCGACGGCAATTTGGACCTCTTGAAAGAAGCCACTAGGAAAGACCTCAATACTTCAGATGAAGATGGGATGACGCCCACTCTTCTGGCAGCGTACCATGGGTACCTAGAAGCTCTGGAAGTCATATGCCGGAGGGGGTAAGTCAATCAGCCTCCATTGCTTAAAGCTTGTGGCTCAAAACTATAATTAGTGGGTCAACTTTCTAATGCCCGGGTGACCTTGTACCCACAAGGCTGAAAATCCCGGTCATTTCCTTCGATGCATTGCCAAGAATTGTTTCTCTTCATTCACAACGGTTTAGTCCCAGAGCCTGCGAGCAGGTCTGTGCCTGCGGTCGGTGAAGCCACATCGGCATCAGGCTCCGTCTCAGATGCGGAGCCTGCAGGGAGGGGTCAGCAGGGCCCTGGGGCCTCACCTTGCTGCCATGGAGGAGAAGTTGGCCAACACCTTTGATGATAACGTATCTTTGAGACTGGCTCTATAGAGAATTGCATTGTTTGAAACACTTTTAGCAAAAAAACCCTTTCCCATTTGCTTCCAAAGTGGAGTTAGTAGACACCTGTGAAGGTTTAGTGCTTTCCAGAGGCAAGTCACAAACAATAGTTTTGAGACAGCAACATCTAAAGTTGTTATTTCTCTGTTTTTTTACAGTATTAGCAACTACCAGCATGGTAAAAATGATAATACTGTTTCAGAACCTATGGTGGGATCCTTGCAAGCTTGGGGGAAAAAAAAAAAAAAAAAAAAAAAAGGAAAGGAAGACTTTCTACAGGTTTATTTTCTAATGGTGATATTTCTGTTTGGTATCATTTAAATGTACTACATAACTGAAATGCATTATAGAAATGGTCATTACCTCCCCATCCTCTGCACTCTCTTGCTTGGAGGCTTCCTTTTAAGCTGTGATTCTGTAATAAGATCTAATAAAATAAAATGTGTTCTTGTGTAGAGATAGAGTTAATAAAATGTTCTTTCTGAGCTGAGATGAAGCTTAAGGTGACCTGTATTTTCAATCATAATAGTTTAAAGATCAGTGGGAAAAACTGAATAACTATTTGAAGGGATTTGAGTTTTCTTTTATTAAAAATAGAGTTGAAAATATGGAATACAAATAGGTTTTTCATAGGTTTGCTTTGTAGCTGATTGAGCTCAGGTGTGGCTGTAATAACACAATAAAAAAGACCTTTGGACTGCATGGCTATTGCTGTGTCCCCAGAAGAAGCAAAAATAAATTGAGTGTTTTTAAACTTCTATAGTTAAAGCACCTCTAAGGAAGTATTTAGAGCTGATGAAGGTTTGTCCCTGAACACCTACAAGACAGAACAACTACCTAAGGAACAAATAACAAAATAATATTTTTCAAAATTAGAGTGAAAAATATGTCTTCAACCATATAAGCTGAGAGAGGTCACAGCAGATGGCACAAAGATCAGAATTCCTATGTATTTGTTATTTAGTGTATTTTTAACGCTTTTTCTCAGTAGAAGACAGCTTTGGGACAGTATGCCCTGAAAATCTTCAAACATATGCATTTACCTCTATTTTAATCCAAGATTTCTTGACACAGTCAGCAGGCTGGGGCTGTCAGAGGTATGGCTGTAGTCTCACTAGTCTTCTTGGGAGAAGCTGAATTTTGGAGGGTGTTCAATCTATTCTGCAGTCAGTTACTGTTTTCTTGTGAGAAAGTATTTTCATATTTTTATTTTTTCATATTTTTCAATTTTTAACAAATTCATCCTTTCCTTGAAGTAAAGGTTTCCTGACAGAGGCACTGAGATACAGGGTGGTTTTCTTCAGTAGCTGCAGATTTTAGGATGCTGAAGTTGCAACACATTCAGCCCTTGGAAAATGTAGCAATACTAACAATAAACGCCTCTCATCTTGGAATAGTTTGTCTTCCTGGGCTTCAAGAGATATTTTCCCTGCTTGCTTTGCAGGTGCAGGAATAAGGGCAAGAGCAGGTAGATGATCTGCTCTCTTTTGTGTGAGCCTGTCTGGGGAGAGCAGGGACAAGAGGGGTATGAGAACCCAGAGCAGATGTCAAACCTTACCCAAAGTCCCGCTGAGCTGGGAACAGACACTCCAGTTTGTGAATTGTTTGAGGCTCAAAGACTGGCAGGCTCCAAGGGGAAAGAGATGACAAACAGCTGTGCAGAGACCTGGGGGAGGACGGGTGACCCAGCACTCCCGAGGCTCCGGATAATGCAGCCTGTTTGCTAATGTGGGAATTACAGAACCTGGCACGCTCGACCGCAGTCGGGCAGCTCCCCAGGGCAGCGCCACCACAGCAGAAATACATACACATGGTTTCCAGATGTCCCAGTGGAGGAACTTTGATCCTCAGCTGCCACCTCCCTGCAGAAATGCCGGCGCTCTCGCAGCCCAGCACGCTCAGGCTCCACATTGTTCCCCCACGCCAGCAGCTCTGTCCCAGCTCCGCAGGGACCCCCGGCCTCTCTCTTGCCTGTGGCACTTCAGGCTGAAGGATGTTTTCAAATTTGGCCCTCAACAAATATGTTAGTGCTTTTCTTCAGAGACACTCAAAGCCAGAAATTAATGACTGGAGGAGATTCTGTGCCAGGACCTACCATGTCACTTACAGCACAGCTGCTGTTGAACAGATCTGTAACACTGAAATGTTTTGACTCCCCAGAGCCAAAATCCTCCTTGTAAATTCAAATTTGGCCCTTGCCTCTGAAGTTGTTAAAGGTTTGAAATGCTGTGGCTGCCTTGGTTATTGGTCACAGACAACTCAAGCTCTGATCTGAACCATTGCTGATGTTGATCCTGCCAAATGCGAATCAAAAGATTCAGGAGGATTCTCATCTGCAGGCAGCAGTTCAGTGGGAAGTCAGTGCAAGAGTTAAACAGAAAGCAATATTTTTCATTGGCTTTAAATTCAATTGAAAAGATGTCGTATTTTATTTTCAAACGAGCTTCTGCTCTTCAAACCCCAGGAGCAAAAGCAGCTTAAGGAGAACAAAAGAGATGAAGAAAACCAACGGCATCTATCTGAGCTCAATCTAATAGCAATGGGGACAAATGTGTAATCAGGGCTTTACTCTTAATCATTTACCTGTTACCTACCAAAAAATGCTACTGCATGGGATCATTAAATATACATCACTGTGGTCAGTGAAGAATCCTCCTCATATTGTCCCTGCGTTTGACATGCAAAAGGGAAGAGTCACCAAAATCCTTTAAAATATTCCACCCCAAAGCTATTGAAACAATCTTGCCGTTAATTCCAACGAGTGTCAGTCGAAGCCTGAGCCCACCCTGAGCTCTCAGCAGCAGAGCAGCCGGAGCTGCAGCCCCTCGCCCGCACACCTGCGGCTGCTTATTCCTGCCCCGAGGCAGGAGGCAGGTGGGACCGGCAGGGAGCCAAGCAAGCCCTGCCAGCAGCCCTGCCTGGCCCTGGGGTGACAAAAAGGAAACACCCTGACTCCCTTATGGGGAGTCACAGTCACGCTCAGCCCCACGAGCTTGCTGAATTCACAGACAGGCAGGAATCAGAGCTTGTGCCACACACGGAGCCAAACTCGGCGCTGGTGTAAGCAGGCGCAGCGCCGGTCTAGAGGATGGAGCTAAGCTGGGTCCTCCTCGTTGAGCTGCACTCCTCAGAGCAAAGCCAAGCTGAACATTTAGTGCCTGCTCAACCCCCTGCAGTGCTGTGCTCGGGTACCTCCAGCTCACTGTGTGCTGTTTTCCTTCTCAGAGGTGATCCGGACAAATGTGACATCTGGGGGAACACTCCTCTCCACCACGCTGCTTGCAATGGCCACATCCACTGTGTTTCCTTTTTGATCAACTTCGGCGCCAACATCTTTGCTCTGGACAACGACCTCCGCACGCCCCTGGAGGCGGCTGCCAGCAGAGACCGCCACGAGTGTGTCAGAATCCTGGACAAGGCTGCCACCGAGCAGAACATGCTGAACCCAAAGAAGGTCTCCAAACTCAAAGCGCAGGCCCAGAGGAATGTGGAGAAACAAATCAAGGAATGCGAGAAGCGCCAAGAGAAACACCAGCATGAAATGAACAGGAGTTATATGAAAGACAATGCTGGCACAGTGAATTCTTCCAAAGGGACACACTCCAGGGTGAAATTGTCTAGTCTCTTTGCTTCAAATACAACAACTTTCTCCAAAAATCTGAAAGATACCTTCAAACTGAAGCCAAAAAAGACAACTGACAGCACAAGAAGCCAGGAAACACAAAGCAGTGACCGAGAGGATGGTTCAGGCAGGAGAACTGTGATGAATTTTTTCGATGAGAAAGAGGAGGATGAATTACTGCACGACCTTGGAGAGGAAAATTCTCCTGATAATGACAGCCAGCTCTCCATTTTCAAGCGGCCAGGTCTTGGCAAGATTGTGTTTGGAAGGAATTTGGCTGCAGATGTAAATCCTGGAACTGAGTCACCTGAGAAAGAAGGTATAAGCTTTAAAATGTCCAGTGAGCTCTTCCAGTATGAAAATGCTGAGAATAGCAGGGAAGATGATGTGGAAAATGGTGCTGATGTCCCTTGGCATGAGGAAGAAGTCAGTTGGGATGATGAGGAAGCAGAGAACACGCCTCTTGAGGTATTTCTGGCATCACAGATGCTGGATGAGTTTCTTCCAGTCTTCATGAGGGAAAAAATTGATTTGGATGCCCTGATGCTATGTACTGATGAAGATCTACAGAGCATTCAGATGGAGCTTGGGCCAAGAAAGAAAGTCCTGAACGCCGTGAATAAAAGAAAACAAGCATTCAAGAACCCTGGAAAGACTGTAGATACTTGCTTATAAATTAACACATCTGTTGCCGTAACCTGCACGCTGATTCATTGTCCTTTCCTCTTTCCAAAGAGCATGCAATTCTTTTCAGACCTCCGCTAAAGCCAAAGGCAGAGAGGTTACCAATTGCTTTAGAAAGTACAGCACGGACAAAGATTTTTCTCTCTGGATCGATGGCTGTAGTATGCAGGATATTAATTCAAGCATATTCTGCCAAAAAAAAAAAAATTAAAAAAGGTAAAAAAGCAAAAGTCTAGAGTCAAAGGTTTTCTCCCTGAACTGTTTACAGGGATTAGATTTCTTTTGCTCTGAATAACTTAAATTACTAGTGAAGGCCAGCCACACTACATTCCTTAATAAAGCCCTTCCTTTCTTCTCCAAAACCACAATACAAACAGCATTCCCAAAGCTTGAGAGCTTTGAGTTTTCTCCATTCTCTCCTGTTAGATTGCTGCAAGCCACCCTTCCTGCTACTGATGATATGTTAGAAATAGCATCTGAATCATGATTTCAGCTGTGGCTTATTGACCCTAACAGTCAATGTAAATAATTCTAATTTACAGCAAGTGTTATCTTCATGTCAGTAAAGTGTTTTGCTATTGTATTGATATTAATTTAAAAATACATGAAGCACCTTGCCAGCAGATGTTTGGTGTGAGCTGTATATTGTCTCATTAGACTAGACACAGGTGCCAGCACCCATCACATCCTAAATAGCATCAAGACTGCAGTACTTTGAACTACAAGAAGCTGAGGTTATGTTTTCAGTGTTTTTGATCTGTTTTGGTATATCCTCACCTTGGTTCCTATAGAGTGCATTTGCCATGCAAAGTCCCAGAAACCAGGACTCGTCACACAGCGCTTTCTGCTGCTTGTTGCCATCCTTAGCCTGGAAACTGCGTGTCACTAGGCACACACATCCAGCTTGTGAAATGAGAGAGAGAGGCTGGGCTCCTGGGGAAGCTGCTGTTCTTTACAGTCTCTCCAAAGCTCCCTTCGTCTCCCTCAGGCCTGTTCCCTTGGGAAGCCAGCGCTATTCCGATAGGAATTAATCATTGCTGATGAGCTTTGTGAATCTAATAAGGCTTTTGTAGCCATCGTGCTCTAGCTAAGATCGCAGATTTTAGAGGAACAATGATCAGCAGGACTTTTGTCTTTAAATCTCTCTATAGGTTTCCCTAAGTCAGCTATGATTGTTCCCTTCGGGGTATACTGCATTTGTGGACACTCATCCTAGCTCTTCATCTATTTTTTCATGCTTCCTTCTTTCCACATCTTCTTGTTACTTCCATTTGTATATTATAATTCCTTTTCTTAGCTGGACTTTACACTGCATGCTTTCCTCCTTGGGTTCCTGTACTTCAGCAGGTTGATATTTTGTTCTGTTAAGCAGTCACACCAAAGTCCTGTTCCGTGCAACCTTAGATGATGGCCACGCTCAGCACAAGAATTAAACCAGACAGCACTCACCCTGACTCTCGTGTTATTAGCCCGCTGGGCTGTTCTCATTTTAGCCAAGAAACTCACAAATGCTTACCAAAGCAAGGAGGAAGTGATGAATACTTGAAGGCACATATGAGTGGATTTTGAGGGGTCAAATCCTGTCCTTCCCAGTCACCTAACTGCTGTAAAAATGCAGGGCACTCCCCATGCTGGAGACGCAGATGTTTCCCATTCCTCCCAGCAGCCGCAGAAGCAGCAAACCGGGCCTCATCGCTCTCTCCATCTTCCCCTCCCTGCAGCGGCTGAATTCCACCATCACTAACACAAGGGGTTCAGAGCAGGTCTGTACAGCTCTGGTGACTTCTCTCCAGCGCTAAGTGGTGAGCATAATGCACCCTTCCAGGCCAGATTTTAAGTAACTGGGTTACATCCATTTATCCAGGGAAATGCTTCCAAAAATTCTGCTAAGCATGCATGTGCCTGTCACTGATGGCAGCCAAACGTAGGCAGGAGAGAAGGCACCTGGAAAAATTACCCCTTAGGGGGTTCAGGCCCCATGTATCTCTAAATTGCACTGAAAAGGTACCTGGCTGCTGCAACCTCCGACAACCACAGACAGCAGCAGAAACTATCCCCACACAAATGGATTGGCTCAGTTGTCACAAGCCTCATTAGGTGTGTCCTTAGGCATCCACAGTAACTCTATGGAGCTGGCACATACAGCCCAAGATCTACAGGAGGCCCTTGTCCTTCTGGAACTGCATCTAGAGATTGAATAAGAAGCCTCAGATCATCCTACACTACACTTATTTTTAGGCAACTAAATCAACCCCAATATATATATATATCCTTTAAAAATAAACAAAAAATAATTTTAAGAAATACAGTACAGCTAGTCCTTTTCTTGCAGGGTGGTCCTGGAAATCGGCCTCTGGTATAAAGCAGCCACGTGGAACAACGGGGGAGGAAAGGAACACTCACATTTCATTTTTTTTTCCCCACTCATTCTTCCAAATTTTTTCACTTTTATAATTTGGAAGTATTTAAATAAATGAATCATAGGTCTGAATCCTTAGTAACGTTTGTATAGCACAGTTCAGTTGGGGAGACTCACATATCACATGTGCAATCTTATAGCCCAGTGCAAAGCCAAATCATAAAACCACAGGATCTCACCTGATCACAGCCTCATCAAGTACAAGATTCTCCTTCCTTAAGGATTTAATACTCTGCACTGGACAGACATCAAGAGGAGGGAATGTGCAGCATGTGACAATGACTGCAAAACTGAGTATCACAGTGGAATAGAGCGACCTCAATTTATTTTCCCCTTTACATTCGGGGATCACATTTACTGAGAGAGTAGTCACTGCCACAACTTGAATACTTTCTTCCTCCTATAAAAAAACCCACCCCAAACTCAAAACAAAAGTAATGGACAACAAAATCAAAGTCAAAGAAAAACAGCAATATCTGTTTAATTTTAACATAAATGCAAGTTACACAATTTCTCAAGACTCTGATTAGTAAGAGAAAGAAACATGGAAATTCAAGGCTGTTATTTCCCCTCAAAAAATCTGAAGGTGGCATCCAAGCAATTCCCATTGTAATTGAATCAAATCCTCTCCATGAACTGAAGGCTCCCAGAACTTCCTATCAGCAGTGAAATCTGAGAACACTGTGGGTTTTCAGAACCAGGTTTTTGGACTGGTTCCATCTACTTTTAAAGTGCATGGTCTGTAGGAAAGTAACTGTGAAAATAAACTGTATTTGTCTTCTTCCCAAACACTATGTCTCACTTTAAATTACAATCCTTGTTTTACACAGGCACAGAACTGGAATAATATTGACAGAAGTAGTAAGTGCAAGTTTCCATACAGTTCTTGAATTATGGAACATGGATGGCTGTCACATTTGTGTCAAGCTGGGGGAGTTCTCCATCGCTGAAGTAACAGGCTAAGCCAACACTGACACTTCTGAACATTTCAGAAATTACAAGATGAAAAAACATCTAAAAATAGAAGGGTAATTTTGCTACAATCAAAAATACAAAAGCTTAGAGAAATGCCTGTTCTAGCTTCTGATGATATTAACAAGATCAAGGGAGTTAGATTTCTGTCCACACAAACACATCCTTTGGCCCTATTCACTTACTTGTCTGGTACTCTTCCAGGCTAAAACTCTGCAAATTACAAACTGCCACTTACTACTTTTTTCCCCAACTAGTTTACATCAGGCTTATAATTTGTAGTATTATTTATGTCACACCTGCACTGTACTCATTAACCTCTTCTATACTTGCTTACACACCATCACAGGCTTTAACTGCTTCTGAATCTCCTTCCTGTTGCTCCACTGAATTCTACTGGCATCGATATCAAATGACCATGTCATCTAATCTTCCAGAGTGAAGAAACACTTAATAGCCTGCATGAAATAATATGTAAGTAGAAATAAAATCTCTAGCCTAACTCTAGCCTAAGATGGGAATTTGTTTCAAGGGTAATACCTACTTTTCAGCAGATGCTCAATCTTTCGTAAGGCAGTTGCATAACAGCACAAAACTGGAACTTTTCCTTATGTAGAACACTACTGGGATCCTCCGCCAAGAACAGATCACGGAAATTCCTGCCCCAGCTAATACCCATTGGGATAAAAGAACAATCACCAATTGATGCATGGTCCAGCCAAGCTGAAAATATTTGCCTGTATACTTGAAGTTTTATCTTCTGAAGTCAATTTGCACTGTTCCAACCTTCAAGAAGTTTAGGAAAAGAACTTACAAACCCCATAGATTAATAAAAAAACTTCCAACAGAATATGGATAAGAGGTAAATGAAAACACAGTTTTAGTGGTCACAGTTTGGGTTATTCTTTGCAATACAAAAATGGCAATATCCCACCCAGGAATGTATGGCGTATAGTTTCCTCACAGTTAAAATGTACTTAATATTAGCTCTGATTTTTTATACTCTAAGTCTTCCTCACACAGGTTTTTTACAAAAACAGACAGAAATCTTAACTGTATGGAGGCATCATCATTTATATATAAACTCCCATTTGGGAGTGTACTCTCAAATGTAAAAAAAACATTGGCTCTGAGGGCAGGGAAGGGGGATTGTGGGGGGTGAAGGTAAGGGTGGTGCCTTCTAGATCCCAGTCTGAGCTGGAAGGGAAGGGGTGTCTAGGAGTCAGGGGTGGGCTGTGTTCCCAGGAGAGATGAGGTTACTGACAGCACAGAAACCCACAGCTCTGTTTAAAGTACCACCACAGGTCAATATGATGCCAAAGTCCATTCTCCAAACTGGTATTTCACTGCAGTATGAACTACCTCTGAAAACATGAAATCTACCCATGGACTTCAGTTACATAAATAATTAGGGATGAAAGGCATTGATTCCAGAGTTACACCAAAATATGTAAAAATACCCTTGTTAGTGTCACATCTAATACCTGCCATTACATGAGATACACTTATTAGTAATACTGCAGGTATCTAACACTTGCCATTAGAAAACTGTAGAAATTAGTCTATTGCTGAAATTTTACTTTTTATTCTTCAGTGTTCT